CTAAAAAGGATGCAAATGACCAGCTGTCAGCAAGGCGTATAAATCCATCCGTTTCCCACCATCCAGTCAGAGCTGAAGAAGCTTCTTGGATGAGAAGCGAAACGTCTTCAGAAGAAAAACCAGAAAGTCCAGCTGCCTCTTGAAAATGGACCCTTGGGAATGTTTAGCCAGAGTCAATCTACTTCTATTTGCAGGTCTTTATGTTTTGCCATTTTCTCCAGTTCTTTCTCTTCTGTTCTGCTGTCTCCAGCTACTGCCATGTCCTTTTTCTTTTTCTGTCTTTCTTATTAAGGATTGTTACATTTGCAATGTTGTGTTGCCAGTGCTTGTCTGTTTGAATTCTAAAGTCCCAGTGCACTTTAGCATCTTCATTTTTTCTATGACTTTGCCTACCCTGGTCCAATTAGTTCTTTGCTTTGCAGGCAGATGATATTTCTTGCAGATGTTATTATTATTCTTTCAGAAACCACGATTCTTAACTGGTGATTATCTAGCCTAGCAAAGGATTGCCAGTTAAGCCAACAATCAAGAGGGTCAGAGCGAAATTCGGCTGGCCTAACAAACTTTATATTGCCCAGGCTATATTTCTGACAGTTTTAGATCCACCCAGTTTCTAAACAGAGTAATATTGTTCGTTCCTCCATTTTTCCTTCCTCTTCTTTCTGTGTTTTATTGGTCATAGTTGCCTTCTGATTTGGAAAGATTGATGTTCTGTCCCCCTTCCCCACACAGGCAAACACACAACCAGGCACGCCTGCCAAGATTTTATTAAGCAATCAGACTAGAAACCCTTGCAGATAAGAGTTTTGGCAGTAAACTGCGAAATGCCTGCCAAATCAGTTTTCACTCACAATAAGCAAGAGAGAGTTTATCCTCAGTCCGGTTCAGTAGCAAAAAGTAATCCACGAAGCAAGAGTTAGCCAAGGTCCAATCCAAATATGCCCAAGCCAGATTTCAGGTAACGTGATGTGACTCTCAGGTTTTTAACTTTGACCGTCACAAAGCCTGAAGAGCAATCACACTCACTTTTATTCCTTGTGGGGTGTGGCTCAGTGACTCAGCTCAATCTCTGGCCCTCCCATGCCTCTTTCGTTGCTGCGCACGCTTCTCCCTCCGACGCTGCCTGGGATCAAGCCAGGATTCATCATCCTCGCCCCCTATCTGTTGTTGTTCCGATATGCTTTCCTCCTGGCATATCCTAGGCTGTTCTTTTTGGCCTTCGGATGGAACCTGAGGCATTGCCAGAGAGGAGGATCCTGGAGAGGGAGGCCTTGTCAGTTCCTCCCCATCACCTTCTGAGTCCTCTTCCTCTGTTAGGACAGGCTTGGGAGTCGGGGGTCACAAAAATTTCAACCATTTATTTGGCAACCCTGCCGGTTCCTCAGAAGACCTCCTGCCCCAGTTTGACGCCCATCAACCAAAGGGAGAAGGCAGAGAAGGCTGTACAGCAGAAGTGTCAAACTCAGTTTCACTGAGGGCCACATCAGGGTTGTCTTTTACCTCGGGGGTGGGGGGCATGGCCAGCTCGACATCACTAGTGTCAGGGGCACCTGTGGGGCCCAGTGCTAAGCTAGGACTTCTCTCAGACTCTTCCTCCCTCTCATTATAATCTTTCTTCCTTCTTTCCTTCCTTCCTTCCTTCCTTCCTTCCTTCCTTCCTTCCTTCCTTCCTTCGCTTCCTTTTTTCCTTCCCTCTTCATTCTCCTTTCTTCTTCCTTCCCCTTTTCTTATTAATTTAATTTAATTTAATTAATTAAATTTATATGCCTCCCCTCTCTGAAGACTCAGGGCGGCTCACAATACATTTTAAAAAATCATTATAAAAAAACATTGAAAAATTAAAAACATTAAAAACTCATTCACACCATTCATGGCTGGATCTCGCCAGATCACAAGAGCGAGATCAACGGCCCCAGGTCTGCCAGAAAAGCCAGGTCTTCACTGCTTTTCGGAAGGCCAATAGGGTGGGGATGGTCCGGACCTCAGGAGGTAACTTATTCTTCCTTCCTTTCTCTCTTCCCATCTTCCCTTCTTTTTCCCTCCTCTTTCCCTTTCTCCTTTCCTGTCCCTTCCTTCCTTCCTTCCTTCCTTCCTTCCTTCCTTCCTTCCTTCCTTCCTTCCTTCCTTCCTCCTTCCTTCCTTCCTATTCTTTTTCCTTCTCTCTTCCTTCTCCCTCCCTCCTTCCTTCCTTCCTTCCTTCCTTCCTTCCTTCCTTCCTTCCCATCGTTCCTTCTTTTTCTTTGTCTTTCCTCTTTCCCTTTCTCCTTTCCTGTCCCTTCTTGGACGCTCAAATGCAAAAGGGGAAACATTTCTCCTTTTGTTTTGTTCTTAGTTTATTTTGCTAGCCCTCTGCTAGCAAAAATGGAGCAGGGAGCAGGGGGCCATGCATGCGGCCCTCCCGAGCTCCGTTTTCGCTGGCAGAGGCACCGTGGGCCGGTCCTTCGCTGTTTTCAGGGCGGCCCCGCGGGCCGGATCTAAGCACCCCATGGCCCAGATCTGTCCCGCAGGCTTTGAATTGGACACCCCTGCTGTACATTGTCCGTAACTGAGGTCAGCCGCCACCTCCAAACTTTGGATGTACAAGCCAGATGGCATCCTACCGTGAGCTTCAAGAAAAGTGGCCCAGTTCTTCCCCAGCACAAGATTTTTTCATCTCGGCTTGCACAGCTGTTACTCAGCGTGATTCTCTAATCGCGGCAATGAAGCCGCAGTGCCCTTTCTAAAAATAAAGACTGGGAACGGCAGAAACTGCCGGCCTCTCGAAATAAAGAGGCCCTTGGCCGTCAAACGCTTCCCGCCTCAGTCATGATCTTCCTCTCCATCTTGGCCTCTAAAATGTGAATAAGAGAGCAGACGCCCCCTTTCTCAAGCCCGCCAGAGTGTGACGGCCCAAACAAGAGGACTCTCGGTTCATTAGCGTGGCTGAAAGGGAAAATTTACAGCTGGAGGTAACACTCAGGTCTGGGTGGCAGAACAGATTGGAGGAGCTGAAAGTGGACTGAGCAAATCAGCACAGTTGGTCAGCTGGTGCAATTTGTTCTGGCAATGATTTAGGGGGAAGGGGGGAGGAGTGCCCCAAAATAGGAACAGCACTTAGACTTATATACCGCTTCATAGTGATTTACAGCCCTCTCTAAGCAGTTTGCAATTTGCCCCCACCCCCAGTAATCTGGGTCCTCATTTTACAGCTCTCGGAAGGATGGAAGGCTGAGTCAACCTTGAGCCGGTCAGGATCGAACTCCAGACTGTGGACAGAATTAGCCTGCAATACTGCATTTTAACTACTGTGCCACCATAGGAATAGAATAGAATAAAATAGAATAGAAGAAAAGAAAAGAAGAAAAAAGAAAAGAAAAGAAAAGAAGAAAAGAAAAGAAAAGAAAATTACAAAATAAGAATAGAATAGAATAGAATAGAATAGAATAGAATAGAATAGAATAGAATAGAATAGAATAGAATAGAATAGAATAGCACTTAGACTTATATACCGCTTCACAGTGCTTTTACAACCCTCTCTAAGTGGTTTACAGAGTTGGCCTATTGTCCCCCAACAATCTGGTTCCTCATTTTACATTTTACAGACCTTGGATGGATGGAAGGCTGAGACAACCTTGAGTTGGTCAGGATCGAACTCCTGACAGTAGGCAGAGTTAGCCTGCAATACTGTATTCTAACCAGTGTGCCACCACAGCTCTAATGATGTATGTCAGGTGCAAACAACCAGATCCACAAATGTAGACTCCAGGCTAACTGCTTTATTATATTCTGCCTATAATAGAGGAATCTTCAGAGACTGTTTGTTCCCCATGGGAGCAGACAGATAAGGTTCTCTGGAGTGTGTGTGTGTGTGTGTGTGTGTGAGAGAGAGAGAGAGAGAGAGAGAGAGAGAGAGAGAGAGAGAGAGGAGGGAGGGAGGGAGGGAGGGAGAGAGAGAGAGAGAGAGAGAGGCGGGAGGGAGGGAGGGAGGGAGAGAGAGAGGGAGAGGGAGAGGGCGAGGGGAGAGAGAGAGAGAGACCTGAATTTCTTGTGGTTCAGCAACAACTCAAGGCTAATTTTCCACATGAGTCCTCCTCCCTGACTGGCTGGGCGTTGCTCAGCATTTGGGACTCTAAAGACTTCTGGAAATTTTATGCAGCCATTTGTTTATTTAAAAAAAGTAAATAAGTAAGCCAGGCAACAAAATTCTGCTATCAGAAACTGTTCAGGGATATTCCTCCTAGACTTACAATCACAATCGAGCCGGGGTAAAATCTACTATCCTTCCCAACCAGTTCGGAAGTGCATGTGCCACATGGACTCTCTGCACATGTGCATTGGGTAAAAAAGGGTTACTTCCTGGTTAAAACCAGAAAGTAATGATGACCGGGCGGGTGGGAAGAGCCTCATGCTGCCATTGCTACCAGTTCTCCAAACCACCAGCTGCCATCGCTACCAGTTCTCCGAACCACCAGCAACCACTGGCCACCATCGCTACCAGTTCTCCGAGCCACCGGCCGCCATCGCTACCAGTTCTCCGAACCACCAGCAGCCATCGCTACCAGTGGTTCTCCGAATCACCGGCCACCATCACTACCAGTTCTCTGAACCACCGGCCGTCGAACTGGTCCGAACTGGGAACATTTCACCCCTGAACTGAGCCCAACCTTTCCGTTGCTAAGCAAGACAGTTGTTAAGTGAGTTTTGAGCCACATTATGCCCTTTCTTGCCACAGTTGTTAAGTGAAGAACTGCACTTGTTAAGTGAATCTGACCACTCCAATGTCTTTGCTTGACAGAAGGTCGCAAAAGGGGATCACATGACCCCAGGACACTGCAACCGTCATAAATATGAGTCAGTTGCCAAGCATCTGAATTTTGATCACATGACCCTGGGGATATTGCAACGGGTCACTAAATGAATCCAGGGCCTGCAGGCTGCAGGTTGGTCACACCTGATTTAAAGTAAAGGATGAAGAGATGGTAGCAGCTAACTGAGCTACAAGGTGAAGCATTTCATGTTACCTGTCCAGCCAGCAAGACAGCAGCAATAGCCAGTCAAAGGATCACACCCATCTGCGTGGTCACAATCACAGCGTTCGCTGCAGTTCAGGCCGTACGTCCCATCCTTCCATTAACCAAAAGAAAGAAGAAGAAGAGAAAAAAGAACAAATGAGGATAGGTGGATGCAGGAATCTCTTGAGACAAACTTATTCTAACTATATAACATATACAGCAGGGGTGAAATGCTCCAGATTCAGACCGGATCACCCGATCCGGTAGCGATGGTGGGTGGTGGTTTGGAGAACTGGTAGCAAAAATCCCTGCCCCCCCCCATGCCCAGCTGAGCCATGCGATCATCAGAGACTTTTTTTTTTTACTTTTAAAAGCATTTTTTCTACAACCTCTTTGGCCTTTAAAAGGCTCTGATGATCCCAGCTGAGTTGCCTGATCGTCAGAGGCTTTTAAAAGCATTTTTTCTGCAACTTAAGGTTGTAGAAAAAATGCTTTTAAAAGAAAAAAATAAAGTTGGCCACACCCACCCAGTCACATTACCCCCCCCCCCCAAGCCATGCCCACAGAACCAGTAGTAACAAATTTTACATTTCACCACTGATATCCAGGTATTCTAACAGAGTTGGAAGGAACCTCCTAGGTCAGTGATGGCGAACCTATGGCACGCATGCCACAGGTGGTACGTGGAGCCATATCGGTGGGCACGCGAGCTCAGCTCTGGCACACATGCGTGCACCAGCCAGCTGATTTTTGGGCCTTCTGGGCCCACCGGAAGTCAACAAACAGGCCATTTCCAGCCTCCAGAGGGTCTCCAGGGGGGTGGGGAAGGCCATTTTCACCCTCCCCAGGCTCCTAGAAAGGCTCTGGAGCCTGGGGTGGGTGAAAAATAGGCCTACCGGTCCTGCCGTGCCATCACATGCCAAAAGCGAGGGAAGCGCGGGGGGGTCACGCACACATGTGCGGGGCAAGGCGCATAGAATTATGGGTGTGGGCACACACGCACACAACCCCCTTGTGCTCCCCCGCTTTTGGCGCGTGATGGCAAAAAGGTGAACTGTCACTGTCCTAGGTCATCTAGTCCAACTCCCTTCCCAAGCAGGAGACAAATGGCAGTCCAATCTCTTACATTCCTTAACTTATTCCTCAATTTAAAACCACAATCGAGCCCAACGTTTATGTTGCTAAGTGAGAAATTTGTTCAGGGAGTTTAGCCTGACCTAAACTTTTCCTCTTTTAAATGGGAATTTTAAATTTGGTTTTAAATTATTGGGGTTTTAAAATGGTTCAGCCAAATTTATTTAATTTGTTTTATCTCTATTTTAAATTTTGTATTTATATGTTTTATTTTATGGCTGTTCACCGCCCTGAGTCCTTCGGGAGTAGGGCGGTATACAAATTTAATAAAATGAAAATGAAAATGAATGTTCCATTTTACAACTTTTCTTGCCACATGTGTTGAGTGGATCACTGCAGTTGTTAAGTTAGCAACAAGGTTGTTAAGTGAATCTGACTTCCCAATTGACTTTCCTTGTCAGAAGGTCGCAAAAGGGGATCACGAGACCACAGGACTCTGCAACCGTCCTAAATGTGAGACAGTAGTCAAGCAGCCAAATGTAAAACACGTGACCATGGGGACGCTGCAATGGTCGTAAGTGTGAAAAATGGTCACACAATGTCACTTTTTTTCAGTGTCGTCGTAACTTTGAACGGTCACTAAATGAACTGTTGTAATTCGAGGACTATCTGCAATTACAGTTACAGATTTAAATTTATGTGTGTAAATCAGGTGTAATATTTCTAGGTGAAGCCCAGAAAATCTTGATGCCTAGTTTCTTTGCTTAATCTGTCTGCAGCTAATTGGCACAATTCTGTCATACAAGAAGTGGTGATTGTTACCAGTTTAGCTAACTTGGAAAAAGAAAAACAAATCAAGATCTTAATTTAATTAGGATCTTAATTAAGACTCTGCCAGCTGGCTTGGGGTCCCAATTGGGGGGGGGGTATCACACTGGGGGTGGTTGATGGATCAATAGCAGATCCCCCCTCCCCCCTCCAGCTCAGCCTCCCCCTTCCCTCTCTATCTTTTAGTGATAAATTGTAATTTGCATTTTTATTATAGTTGGATATATGTGTCTCTATCGTTTTATTGCTTTTAGTGTTGTAAGCTGCCCACAGTCCCTGCTGCGAGATGGGCGGCAAACAAATTTAATAAATAAGCACATACATACATACATACATATCTAGTCTATCGAAAGCCTTCTGCTGTAATAGCTCTCTGGAGCCTACACATCAGTGTACCTATATTTCAGGGGCTGCCACAGAGAAGAGGGGGTCAGACTATTTTTCAAAGCACCAGAAGGCAAGACAAGAAACAATGGATGGAAACTAATCAAAGAGAGAAGGAATCTGGAATTAAGGAGGAATTTCGGCAGGGAGAACAATTCATTAGTGGTACAGCTTGCCCCAGAAGTGGTGGGAGGCTTTTAAGAAGAAATTGGGCAGCCATTTGTCCTGAATGGTTTGGGCCATGATGGCAAACTTATGGCACATGTGCCAGAGGTGGCACGCAGAGCCTTCTCTGTGGGCACGCACGCTATCACCAGCTGCTCTTCGCAAGTGCCGGAGTGCTGGAAAATGGCCCAAAACCAGGCCATTTTTCAAGCTGTTTTCAGAGTATTCTCAGGCCTTTTTTCGGGCCTGAAAAAGGCCCGAAAAAAGGCACTGAAAACAACCCTGAAAACGGCCTGAAAAAGGCCCGAAAAAAGGCACTGAAAACAACCCTGAAAACGGCCTGAAAACAGTCTGAAAAAGGCCTGAAAAAAGGCACTGAAAACAACCCTGAAAACAGCCTGAAAAAGGCCCGAAAAAAGGCACTGAAAACAACCCTGAAAATGGTCTGAAAAAAAGGCCCGAAAAAAGGCATTGAAAACAACCTGAAAAACGGCCTGAAAACGGCCCTGAAAACAGTCTGAAAAAGGCCCGAAAAAAGGCACTGAAAAAAAAAAACCTGAAAACGTCTGAAAAAGGCCCGAAAAAAGGCATTGAAAACAACCCTGAAAACGGCCTGAAAACGGCCTGAAAACGCCTGCCTGAAAAGGGCCCGAAAAAAGGCACTGAAAACAACCCTGAAAATGGTCTGAAAAAGGCCCGAAAAAAGGCACTGAAAACAACCCTGAAAACGGCCTGAAAAAGGCCTGAAAAAAGACACTGAAAACAGCCCTGAAAATGGCCCCATAAGGCTTAAAACAGACCAGCAACGGTGTTCCGGCTTTGCCGGAAAACGTTGATAGCTTCGTCTTCTTCTTCGTCTACGTCTTGTATTTATTTTTGTATCTATGACTTCTGAACATTTGCCAAGAAAGGCCTTTGGCAGTTTGCCTAATGGGACCAAGATTTGCAATAGGACTGAGGAATTTGTGTTGGGAGGAATTTGCTTTAATTTAGTTGAACGACGCTGGGAATGAAGTAATTCTCAGCTGTTCGAATAAAGTTTGTTTGGTTTTTCACTGACTGATTTTCCTACTACTTACTTGGGCCTGGGTCACAACACATGCATGCATGTTCCGGTTTGGGCATTCAGTCCCGAAAAGGTTCGCCATCACTGGTATAGGATCTCCTGCTTGAGCAGAGGGTTGGACTAAGAAGACCTCCAAGATCCCTTCCAACTCGGTTGTTCTGTTCTTTTCACTCGTTCAGTGCATCGTTTCTTCTTCCCACCAATGTTGGAGGGATGCTGAGCACCGTTCGCTCTTGACAACTTTAAAGATGGGACGGTCATAAGCTACTTGGTCCCTGATCTCTGGAATTCTCACCTAGCCTAGATGTTAACAACAACTCTGGGCACTTTTGTGGCTTCTTTTGAGTTTCCCTTTTGACTAGATTCTTGTGTCAGAATGGTTAGAGTAAAGAAGAGCAGCGGATAGGACTAGAAGACCTTCAAGGTTCCTTCCAACCCCGTTATTTGGACTGATTTCAGGATACTTGTAGTGAAAATATTACATGGATCTCCCTGATCGAAGCCTGGATCACCCATGAAAAAAGCAAATCTCTCCAACCCGAGGAAACTTACAGGGCAGGGCTGGTCACAGATTTCTCCTTGCCACCCAGGACCACAAAGACAAGATCCGTCCACCGGGTCACACGCAGCTCCGTTGGCACAATAACACGTCTGGTTGCAGTTAAGACCCCACGTGTTGCTCGGGCACGGAATGGAACAGTCGGTTCCTTGCCACCCTGCAAAACCAAAGAGCCAAGGAACATTAGGTCAACTATCAACCGTGGTTGCGTGTCCTCTCTCTTTGAAAATAAATGCATTTTTGAGGGGAGTAGCAGGGTGCATAGATTACAGTATTATCTTTCCCAAAAGTCTTCATCCGAGTCAGCAAAATCAGGGATAGGAACAAATCAAACAGTCCATACCCAGATCACCTAAATTCAGTTGAAGACAAGGAGGTAGGTTGGAGTTGGAGGACAGAGAGTTCACATAAATACAGATAGTGTCAGCTATCCAGCTCGAGAATCCCAATAAAACTCCAGGTTCATTCCATTTCCGAAAAACGTACTGTTTATTGAATACACTGCATGGTAATATCGAAGTAAAACTAACTCCGAGGTTCCCAAATATCACTTCATAGAATTTAACAATACTTTTCCCAGCCAACCTCTCCAACCTCTCACGTAGTCCATATAAAGAAGTTCACTTTGTTATGGAACCGTCTGCTTCAACTCCACACCTGTTATGATGTCCTTGAAAAGGTTTCAGGCTCTCACGGTCTTCAGCAGAATGGTAGAAATTTCATTTCTCCATCTAACCCACTTGAAAGCCACACACACCCCCTTACTCTAATGGCAAGTTGAAATGAAGAGGCATGTAGTTGCCAAAGGTTCATCCCTAACAGATGGTCCTTGATTTACAATCTCAATTGGGACTAGAATTGCTAGGCAAAGTGGTTGTTAAGTGAATTGCGCCTTATTTGGCGACTTTTTTTTTTATCATGGTTGTTAAGCGATTCGCTGCAGTTGTTGAGTGAATCCAACTTCTCTCACTGACTTTGCTTTTCAGATGCCAGCTGGGAAGGTCGCGAATGGCGATCACGGGACCCAAGGATTGGCTCTGCAACCGTTGTAAATATATGCCAGTTGCCAAGAGTGTGGGGATGCTACAATGGTTGTAAATGTAAGGAGCAGGTGAAAGTCACTTATTTCAGTGCTATTGTAACTTGGAATGAACATAGAATAATACAGTTGGAAGGGACCCCTGGAGGTCTTCTAGTCCAACCCCCTGCTGATGATCGCTAAATGGATGATTGTAAGTCAAGGACTACTTGCAGGGTAAAACAGTCAGTTTGAGGGCATAGTTGTAAATCCCAACAACAGGGAGGGCACATTCAGAGCATAATCTATCACTATTGTATGTACATTGAGAGATTACACAATGGAAACAAATTCCTTGTGTGTCTAATCACACTTGGCCAATAAAGAATTCTGTTCTGTTCTGTTCTGTTCTGTTCTGTTCTGTTCTGTTCTATTCTATTCTATTCTATTCTATTCTATTCTATTCTATTCTATTCTATTCTATTCTATTCTATTCTATTCTATTCTATGTTGTTGACATGGACCAAATCACAAGTGTGCAGCAAGTCAGAGAGGAAGGATTAAGCCATGGCAAAAAAAAAAAGAAAGAAAGAAAAATAAAACCACAAATTGAAAACAACCTTAATTAGCAGCCAGATACAATATGGGGCACAAGTCTCAAACAATAGGAAAAGCTTTGGAGATCTGGACCATCCTGAGTGAAAGCATGATGGAGACCAATGCAGAATAGCCATTGAAACTGGAAATTTTACCTTCTCTGCAGAAGCAGGAGCCATCTCCTGGGGAACACATGCCATCATTCTTGCAATTGCAGGCCAAAGAGCAATTGATTCCATAGCTCCCAGGAGGACACGTAACCGAGCAGATCTCTCCCTGGAAAACAAAACCGATCTAGGCTGAGTGTTTGAAATTCGGATCTTTGGGGAAACTGATTGTAATTCAGATGTTACTGAATTACAACTCCCATCAGTCACAGACCAGACAGTGTGAGAAGCGGTGGGTGGCTGATGCTGGGAATTGTCCTTTAGCAAGAGCTGGGAACCCTAAATTCCCAAACATACTTTGTAGAGTTATATCTTTGTAAATATATAGTATCTTTGTAGAGCGGAGTGATGGCCTAGAAGTGAAGACGCTCGCCTCCCACTCAGAAGGTTCAGAGTTCAATCCTAGCAGATGTTTCTCTCTCAGAGCTCAAAGAAAAAAAAAATCTGCTGTGAACTCTGCATAGGCATCAGGGAGGGCATCCGGCCAGTAAATGCTCAGCTTCACTCAGTCACCCCGACTCTACCCCAAATGAAGGGATTACAGGGTTGTAAAAAGAAATATCTTTGTAGCATTTTATTTATTTAAGGAATAACATCATTTAAGGAATAACATTAAAGGAGGATTTGGCTGAAGGATCTGGCCTCCCTTATACTACTAGGAGGACCCTGAATAGGTTGAGAGTTGGAGTGCCTAAGTGTAAAACCAACATCCTCAAGTGGAGGCTGTTAGCGGATAACAACACGCGGTGTAAAAATGGAGATACACAGAGCCTGACCCATCTGCTACTACCAGAAACATGTACCAATAGTGACTTATTTGTTGCTTCATTCTGAGAGTTTAAAGTTTGATCTGGGCACGGAAGAAGTATTTTATTTATACAGTTTTATTTTTTTAACATTGAAAGCTGCCCAGAGTTATCCTGTGGTAAGATGGGCAGCCAATAAGATAACTAACTAACTAACTAACTAACTAACTAACTAACTAACTAACTAACTAACTAACTGCTGGGAGGTAATGCTAATCTGGTTTAAAGGATGGTTGATGGTCCACAGCTAAAAAACAAAATATAGTTGCCAGACATTTTAGTATTTAAAGATTTGTTTTATTATTTGCCCAAACATTTTTTGAGCGCTTGTTCAGCTAATAAGAGCAGTCCCTGATTAAATGTCATCCAAGAAAAGAAAAATAAATAAAAGTCACAATAACCTCTTACTGACTCTGAAATGGAAGAATTAAACATTCAGGAAAGATAAAATTTACAACTGAATAATTACTCACTTTCTCCCTGAATTGTTCAATGAAATGAACACAGAATGGGAGGGCTTCATCATAACGGAATAACAAAATAACAAAGTTGGAGGGGACCTTGGAGGTCTTCTAGTCCAACCCCCAGCTCAAGCAGGAATCCCTATACCATTCCAGACAAGTGGCTGTCCAGTCTCTTCTTAAAAGCCTCCAGTGATGGAGCACCCACAACTTCTGGAGTCAAGCAGTTCCACTGGTTAATTGTTCTCACTGTCAGGATTTTTCTCCTTAGTTCTAAGTTGCTTCTCTCTTTCATTCGTTTCCATCCATTGCTTCTTGTCCTGCCTTCTGGTGCTTTGGAGAATAGCTTGACTCCCTCTTCTTTGTGGCAACCCTTCAAATATTGGAACCCTGCTATCATGTCACATCTAATCCTTCTTTTCACTAGACTAGCCATACCCAGTTCCTGCAGTTGTTCTTCATATCTTTTAGCCTCCAGTCCCCTAATCATCTTGGTTGCTCTTCTCTGCACTCTTTCTAGAGTCTCAACATCTTTTTTACATTGTGACGACCGAAACTGGATGCAATATTCCAAGTATGGTCTTACCAAGGCCTTATAAAGCGGTATTAACACTTCACGTGATCTTGATTCTATCCCTCTGTTTATGCATTGGCTTATTCGGTGGCTGCAGCACATGGCTAGCTCATATGTAAATGATTATCCATTAGGACTCTAAGATCCCTCTCGTAGTTGCTGCTATTGAGCCAGGTTTCACCTAATCTGACCGGTACATTTGGTTTCTCTTGCCTAAGTGTAAAACCTTACTTTTCTCTCCAATGAATTTCATTTTGTTAGATAGGGCCCAATGTTCAAGTCTGTCAAGTTCAGTGGGGGAATTCAAATTTTTTTACTACCGGTTCTGTGCGTGTGGCTTGGTGGGCGTGGTATGGCTTGGTGACTATGGCAGGGGAAGGATACTGCAAAATCTCCATTCCAGCCCCACTCCAGGGGAAGGATACTGCAAAATCCCCATTCCCTCCCGACTCTTGGGGGAAGGATATTGCAAAATCTCCATCCCCACCCCACTCTGGGGCCAGCCAGATGTGGTATTTGCCGGTTCTCCGAACTACTTAAAATTTCCGCTACCAGTTCTCCAGAACCTGTCAGAACCTGCTGGATTTCACCCCTGGTCAAGATCAATCTTCTGGGTGTTGGCTATTCCTGCTAGCTTGATGTTGTCTGAAAATTTGAAGAGTTCCCCTTCTGTCCCTTCACTTAAATTGTTTATGAAGATATTAAAGAGTACTGGCCTAAAACAAAACTTTAGGATACCCTACTGCTTCCTTCCTTCCTCCCATGTAGGCCACTTAGGCCAACCGCTAGGTGTTTGGGTAGGTAGCAATAGCACTTAGCAATAGCACGTAGACTTATATACTGCTTCACAGTCCTTTACAGCCCACTCTAAGCGGTTTACAGAATCAGCGTCTTGCCCCCAACAATCTGGGTCCTCATTTTACCGACCTTGGAAGGATGGAAGGCTGAATCAACCTTGAGCTGGTGAGAATCGAACTGCTGGCTGTGGGCAGAATTAGCCTGCAATATTGCATTCTAACCATTGGGAGGGAAGGAAGGAACGGACGGAGGAAGGGAGGGAGGAAGGAAGATAGCAATAGCACGTAGACTTATATACCGCTTCAAAGTCCTTTACAGCCCTCTCTGAGCGGTTTACAGAGTCAGCCTATTGCCCTCAACAATCTGGGTAGATTGGAAGGATGAAAGGGAGGGAGGGAGGAAGGAAATTTTATCTAGAATGTAACTGTCCCAACTATTGAGTAGGTGTTGTTGTGTGTGTGCACGTTTCTCCAAAGGAAGTCACAAATGTGATCCTGCAGAAGCCAAGCTGAGGCTGCGTTCCAGGGCCTCCCCAACAAACAAGTGCCCAGTCTTGATTTTGAGGCACCACATTAGTTAAGCCAAAAATGGCTTGGCAGAACCACCCAGAAGTGGAGAAAACACAACGCACGTAAGGCTTTTGTTGCAATCTCCTCGGTGTTTTCCATAATATCCAAAACCTGTCTGTGCAACTGGGGAAATAAGACCCAGCATAACATGAGTACTAAAGGGGTGAAGCTCGTGTCACCACAATGTGATGCTATTTCATCCATCATGCCATCACCATTGCCACGGGGAATGCCCTGTTAGAGAAGGTGTCTAGAGAGGAGAATATCTGTAGGTTAGGATTGGACTGTCAGGTCTTCGGTGCTCTCTGAGCTTGGCTGCTTTCTTGTAGACATTTCATTACCAAACAAGGCAACATCATCAGTGCTAGAAGGGAGTGAGGTTTGTGAAGAAGAGGAGGAGGAGGAGAAGAGAGGAGAAGGAGAAGAGAGGAGGAAGAGGAGGAAGAAGGAGAAGGGGAAGAGGAATAGGATGATTGTGAGGTCCTTGGTGCTCTCTGAGCTTGGTTGTTTTCTTGCAAACGTTTCATTAGCAGTCAAGGGAACATCATCAGTGCTGGAAGGGAATGAGCTTTGTGAAGTAGAGGAGGAGGAGGAGGACAACTGCAGGGTCCTTGGTGCTCTCTAAGCTTGGTTGGTCTCTTGTGGATGTTTCATTACCCAACTAGGTAACTAGGAAAAGGTATGCCCATAGTTGCGGCACGCTTGCTTGGTGCCCAGTCCAGAGCAAGCTTTCCCTGTCTCAATCCAGCTCTTTGGAAGACACTCCCTGCCGAGTTGCCTCTTTGTTTGTTAGGTCTTGAAAGCCCATCTTTTTCTACAGGCCGATTCCAAATTTTAATTATTAATTCTATTGGTATTCCTTGTTTATTTTAATTGCTATTTTAACGCGCTTTAATGCCTAGATGTTTAAAGTGCTCCATGGCATGGGACCTGGGTATTTGCGGAACCGCCTTCTGCCGCCGATAGCCTCCCATCGACCAGTTCGCTCCCACAGAGAGGGACTCCTCAGGGTGCCATCAGCCAGGCAATGTTGGCTGGCAACCCCCAGGGGGAGGGCCTTCTCTGTGGCAGCTCCTGCCCTCTGGAACGATTTGCCCCCGGAGATAAGAAGGATATCGGATCTCCGGGTCTTTCGCCGTGCCCTGAAAACTTTTCTTTTCCATCAAGCAGGGCTGGCGTGAAACCCCTCCCCCTTTTTCTAGCTTTTTTAGTTTTTTAAATTGTCAATGGGTTTTAGTTTGAATGTTTTAAATTTTGGGGCCAAAGTCATGAAATTCTTTTAAAAATTTTAAATTTTGTATTGGTATGTGTTTTAGTTTTGGCTGTGCACCCCCCTGAGTCCATTAGGAGAAGGGCGGTATACAAATTGAATAAAATAATAAATAAATAAATAATAGATGTTAACATGGCTTTTCTCGCACGAAATTTCCATCGTCGAAGTGGTGCATCAAGTGAAACGAAGACATCAAAACAGAGGAATGAAATAAATTCTCGGCGTTTCTAAAGAAGCAGCTGGTCTTGGACAGGCCAACTGTCGCCCGGATGACGTCCTTCTGCAGGACCTGCATTGTCCTCTGAAGTAAGAAGACCTCCATCGGCCGCCTTAAAGGTGGAAAGAAAAAAAGACAACAGCGACCCAGCAGGAGGTGGAAGGTAGGATGGCAAATCTCCTGGAACAGCTGTTTGCTCATTAAGGAAAACATCCTGAGCAAACCACTAATCACAAAATCCGACAAGGGTTTAATGGCATGCAGAGCTCAGCCGCTGAGCCAAGCAAGCCACACATACCCACACACACACAAACACACACACAAATGCAACGTACAAGGTTCTGATCTTGCAGAAGTACAGATAAACTGCTGAGCTTTACACAAAATTATGCAGGTTTTTTTTCCCCCTGG